AGTAGTCTTTAGAGATACTGCACCAGAATAAAGAGACCTATGAGAACCTGACAGTCACCCACCAAGTTTAAGCTCATTAGAGCAATCTCTGCTCTAGTAGATCATCTCAGATCTACAATTCCAAGTCCAGCTCATTATTTATGAAATCTTGTCCTGGTCAATCATGCTTTGCTAATTTTCATATAACTAAAACTGCTATGCTCTTCATGCAGTTTAAGAAAAAAAAAACATAGGCAAAACAGACATAAAAACAAGTGAGCAGTCTTAAAATACAACTAAATACGATAATTACACAATACAATAATCCGCAACAAAGAAGGGAGTGGAAAGGGGGTTTGTTCACAGCTAATAAAAAAAAAAACCTCAGTCATAGCTCTGTTGCATTTAACGCCACCAATCAGATCATGAATACCAATTTGCAGTCAAACAATAAATAGTTAAATACACAAGGAAGAACTTTGATAACAATGAGTACATTCCTTTCATTACTGCATATTATTCTGTATTACTTCGTTGATATTATTACTGTCAATTCAGAGATCTATATGCCTGTCTGGATAGGTTTGCTTTATCAGAATAAATGTTAATTAAACCCCTTTGGTGCATAGCTGATCTAATATAGTCTTGCAAGTCTGCTCAAGAAATTAATTACATGTGCATTGTCCATTGTACAAAGCTTGAGATGTCAACCAGTAAGTGGGTATCGTGCTTCTCTTCCACTGATTAATTGAGAGGCTCCTGTGTCTCCTCTTCAAATACTGATTTAAGGTTGTGTGGCATGACCTTAGCATATTGTTGTCTATATATTCATATAGACCTTATCCTTTATCCAGCAGCCGTACAAATAAATAAATAAATACCACTTACCTGTGTTTCTTCAATGCATAGCGCAATTTCTGTCTATAGTGGATACAGCACATGAACTTTATTTCAAGGCAAATTCTCACTGAAACATTTATTTTTAAACCTTCTACAGCGGTGTTTCCCAAACCAGTGTGCTTAAGACCCACCAACAGTCCAGCTTTTGTCAGTTCTCCACGGAAATAAAACAGGGAGATGCATACATTCTGGATTGTTGGTGGACCTTGAGGACTGGTTTGGGAACCACTGCTCTACACGTTGTGATAAACCTGCCACCTGTTGATGTATTTGTGTCCTGGATCATACCATCTAAGGCTCTTTTCTTTAAACGTGTATTGTTTTCTGACCAGCAGGCCAGATTCATTGACATCCTTACCAATACAAAGGTGTTGTTTTACTCACCAATGCAAAAGCAGCGATATCTTTAAATTCTGGCCCAATAAGTCATGATGACAGGTTTGAAGAATAGTGTTTTAGTGTCAGGAAATACCTAGAGTCACAAGCTTCATACGCCTAGCTGCTGACTACAGCATTACACTTTGTCTCAAAACCAGGGCTCAAAATTTCCACTCAACACTAGTCACTGACGAGTAAAATTTAGCCATGGTGAGTATGCTATGGCTTACCGCGACCAGTAAATTTTAAGGCCTGGCTAGTGACACAGACAGAACTACAGATTGTAAGCCCTGATACAGTTTGTTCCCAGGTTTCAGTGACCTAATGACCTCCTACTAGAAAAATCTGGCCTGGATCATATATTGCAGCTTCCCTACTTAGAGTGATGGAGAACAAACAGGACCAAAAATGTACATTACAAATAATGAAATATTAAAATTTATACTTAATGGTCTGTCAGGCAATGTATTCCCTGCTCTGAAGGATAGAAAACGTTTACATTTAGGAGTTCTAAATATGTACCATTTAACCCCTTAAGGACACAACTTCTGAAATAAACAGGAATCGTGATGGAATCTTTCCCCATCATGTGTCCTTAAGGGGTTAAAACTATTTGGTCTTTAGTTGTCTAGTTGCATCACTATGATTTGCCAATCTATTTAAGACCTAAAATGACATGGCCACAAGGGTGAGTAGGCGTTTTACTTCTAAGGTAAGTAATAAACTGTTATAAGTCTACTTGAATGTTTAGCTCCAACCCAGTGGGGTCTGTGCATCATGTACCCGGACAGAAAATCATTAACTTTCTATTATATTTTTTTAAAGGCCACATTGCTTCAAGACGAAATATTTCAACGAAAACACGAGCAAGAGACACCACTCGAGTATCGTTTTACTGCATTTACAGGAGACGTTTTACCATCTCTATAAGAGCAAACTAAACCACCAAACATCTTCACAGAGACGCTTTCATGTACACCAATTAATTAATTTTTTTTATATCAACCAAAATTGACTTTTTCCCTCTTTAAAATGTGAAAGATATTAAATATTATAATTGGGAAAAACCAAGTTGTTTCCAACAGGCTGTACAAATTATAAGTTTGCTATCATTTGGTATGTAAAGAGACAATAGCAATATGTAAATGTCAAAACATCCGTTAAAGACCTTTTATTTCTCACTTGAGCCTTGCTTTAAGTTTTTTAAATTATTTTTTCAAATCATCACTATATTTTAGAAAAACTTTTCCAATTGTTTATTTACAAAACAAATCCTATAGGCTTTCATGGTGACTTCTGTAGCTAAATCATTTTTAAAAAATTTCCAGCAGATTGTGAACGTTTTGAAAACTTTTCCAAAAATATTAAATTGAGGCCATTGTCAGGGATATTTACTAAAGTGAAAATTGTCAGAATTCAAAGTGATTTCATAGTTAATTTCAATTTAAAGACTAGAATAGCCAAAGTTAAAAAAAATCTCCAGGTCCGCTATGTTTCCAGTAAAGTTATTTTGGCCTAAAGGGACACTCCACCTCCCAAATACAAAATAAATGAAAATAATTGTATAGTAGATATACTTCTAATGAAAAATAGCATGCATTTAATTATGTATTTTTTTCATTAGGGGTATATCTAAGAACAATTTGCAAAAACGGCAATTTCTTTTCTGCTGCCTTTGCAAGCCCTCCCCTTCTCACCACGCCCATACTGTCTGTGACTGCCCAATCACAGACCTCCTAATTCAGTTCAGTGAGAAGTCTTTGCAAGACAGGTGATCTGGGCAATTGCTGCTCCACTGAGCTGACCAAACCAGGAAGTTCCTTTAAAATTAAAATCCACTTTGCATTTCTTTTATAGCCCCAATAAGTCTCACTTTATTGAATAATCCTGTGTGTCATCATTGCAAACAGAAAACCAGACAGGAGTTTATTTCATAAACAACAATTTGTAGTGAATTGAAAATCAGTTTGCAAGATTTAGATAAAATTACTCATGCTGTGACTTTTACCGAAAAGGCTATTGTTGCCTAAAGCTTACAATTAGTTTTTTCTACTTCAGTACAATGTAGTGTTTAGTGAATAAAGCTCACAATCTATAACCTGGGTTATTAGAGATTCTTGTCTCTTACAAAAACAACCCGTGTAAGTTTTGTGCTTAATTATTAATTATATGTAAATAATAAATGTATCTGAAAGCCTAACCTATAGGAACAGCAGTCCTCTTATGCAATTACAACCCTGATGCCTTGAAACACTCCCAGAGAAGTAGTCAAATCCATATAAAAATGGTATGGCAAATTACCTGGGTCCCGCCAGGTACTTGCCTTATCCCCTGCTGTTGGAAACTGCTGCGATTTGCTTCCATTTAGCTCCACTGATCTGTGCAAGGAGCCTAATGGCCTGTACTGTCTGAGTGAGCTAAAGAACGATCAGCGTGAGGGTGAAGGTGGGGAGAAGCACCCGAAAAATCCCAAGTAAGAAGTTAAACCATTCAACACTGGTTTGACTCCTTATGATAGGATTGTTTGCGCCAGGGCACTTCTAGCAACCTGTAGTGGTTATGGTGCTTTGAGTGTCCTTTTAAGCAAAACCAGTAAGGCTTTATTTTCTTTATTTTAGAAATTAGCAAAGAAAGATAGAAAGTGTGATTTTAGAGAATCCAATTCTTTTTTTCTTTTTTTTTTTCCTTTTCTTTTTTTGTTTATAGTTTATAGCATTTTATGTAAATGCAAAAAATCGAACAAGATCACCATAAACGACAAGTGCGCTGAGGGAGAGAAACGTCTGCTGGCTCATACATTTTTTTTATAACAAGGGCTATGCACATTTTAAAGTATTACATAAAGTTTTGGTCATTCGTACATCACATTATATTGTCCCATGGTTTGGCAATCAAATGCATAATGAAAAAGTTCAAAACATAAAAATAGTGTCATCATAAATCAAATATGGTAAACAATAGATATTTATCAAAATCAAAATAACACCAAGGGTGACTATATGGACATTTGTCTTAAACATAAGTTCTGATGCAATTATCAACAGGGTTTTTGTTATGGCTGCTGGAGACATCCCTTATGGCTTTGCAATGTAAGTGGATGACCAGAGCACCCGTCTGTGAAATTTCTGCTCTCCTTGTAGTGCGCCCTCCATTTATAGCGTCTCTAAGACAACTATAAAGTTACCCCCACCCCGATATATTTCCATTTTGCCCAGATCGTCTCTAATATGTTGAGTTTGCCCATTATATTGAAGGCCATTTGTTCGAGTGTTTTGATATTTGATACCATTTCTCGTATTGTTTGGACTTATGGTGTTTGTGTCGATTTCCAAAATTGGGCAATACCGTTTTTTGCAGCTATCACAATTTAAATAATCAATGCGGTTTCGTGCTATAGCACTCCGTGAGGGACTATATTTAGTAGGTAGATTTCTGGTTTCAAGGGCAGTAAGGTGTCTGTGAGACCGTGACATTGTATATTAATTGTTGGATTTGTTTCCAAAAGGAGGCAATCATTTCACATACAGAATCCAATGCTAACTACATATGATTACATTGTTCGCTAATATTTTACATATAATATAGACATCTATATTCTTCTGCTTTGCACGTGATTTAATGTCTTGCAACAGTTCCATTTTAAAAGATAATAAAAATCTGTTGCTTATAAAATTATAACTTGTTTTAAAATCTGTTCATTTCTACTTTGAAGTTTTATGATGTTATGCATATTTAATCCATGGCTTTACATTAAGTGGAGTATAAAATAAACATTACACATTTTAATAGCCTTATCAAATGTTTACATTATTAAGCATAGAGGACTTCCAGTCCTGGAGAAACTCTGCATGCCCTTACATACCCGCTCGTGCATTAGTCAACATCTCACTTTCTCACTATGGCCTGTGTTCAAATTAGAATATCCACATGTACATGAATTGGAATAATTCCAAATTGGAGTGGAAATCTACATCTGCTCCTTATAAGAATCTATTCAATGAAATGTGTGTGAGCTCTGGTTTGATACATTATTTATTTTATTTATAAAATATTTTACCAGGAAAGATACATTGAAATTTATCTCATTTTTAAGTATGTCCTGGGTCCACAAAACATTGTATTGATACAACAGGGTACAATAAAATACAAAAACAATATTAATACACAATAAATACAAAATTTAACATAGGACAGGTAGGAAATATATAATCAACCATGACACGTGCATTCTGTTTTGAGGTATGTAGAGAGGGATCTCTTAAAGGACTTTAAGCTTGGGGAAGATTTGAAAGTGTGAAATTTTGCTCACCTACTTTTTAAAGAGTGCAATTTTGCATATGGCTAGAGCGCTTTATGTACATTTTCATAATTCCTGTCTGGCCAGTGTTGTCTGTATGAGCTGTAACACAGTTCATTTTGTTGGGAGAAAGTGAGTGTTGGGCACGACTGGTCGCATAAAATATTAGCGAATACTGCCGTTTTAGACAAGTATCAGCACAGGAAACCTCATAGGCTTTATTAAACAAAGCAATTGTTTATTTACTACTTGCTATTATAAAACAAAAAAATGATTGGGTACAGCTTGAGTTTAATTATTAAAAATTTTGTTTGTTACTGAGTTGTATTGCATTTTTTTTAAAATAAATAAAAAATTTAAGAGTAAGAGGCACATTACTATCTCACGTTTGATATTTATTGAAATGTTAAAGGCTTTCGAAGTGGGGAAAGTCCCATCCCTTCCCAAACTTTGTTTAGTCCCACTACTTCTTATCTTTTGTTGTTTTGGTAAAAAGGCTCCAAATATTCAAATTTCAATGATCACAGTCATTTCAAATAGGAATCATCAACACTTTAATGGAAGTAATGAAATGCACTGAGACGTTTTGATTTTAGTGTCTTTAAAATTGTATCACGATCCCTGTCAAATTTCAGAAAATATTATCCGCTGATTACCGAGCCTGGATGGTAATGGAATTTAGAGTTGGAAAAATAGTTTTCTTAATGGTCAAAAGTCCATGACGGACAAACCAGTTGGCCAATAAACTGAACAACAGGAAAATACAGAGCACCTAACTGGTGACCATCTGCTATTTATAAAAATAAGAAATTTTAAAGAGGACTTCTATAATTCCTAAATGTTCCTTAATAGGATCACCTGCTTTGGCTGATCTGAGTATATTGAGACATCCAGCTTCTCCTGCAGAAGATCTGAGGTGGCATAGGTGCCTGGGGGACCCAGATAAATTACACTAGAACAGTGCCAGGTCACTGAAGGCATTGTAACTACTACAACTGTAGTTATGGTACTTGGGGTGTTACTTTAATAGAATACAATATTTTATATAAAGGGTCATAAAACGTGCATTGCTGAGCTTTACAGAATTAAAATAACTAAAACATGAAACATCTCTAAAACGAAAAAAACTTTGATAAGAGAAAAACAACATTTGCTTATGAATGAAAAAGTTGAAGAGATAACATTCTCAGAAGAATAAAGCTCCACCTGAATTGTGGCTTTTTTTCATGTGTCCATGAATTGCACTTGAAGTGATTAATTTTTTCCAACTAGAAAGGGCAAAGTAGTGCATTGTCCTTCAGTACTCATGCAAAATGGATAGAGAGTGTTTAGCATTCCTCTGTGACTCGTATGATGATGAATGCTTTAGCTGCTGATTTCGTTTCATGATTCATATACAACGTTTCCATTTTAAAGTGCAGCTCACTAAGAACAATCGTGTCTCCACTTACAGTGAATTTATGCTTCCTTCTTCAAGCAGCATAAGGGTTTATGATTATTATTTTATTATTTATATAGCGCCAGCAAATTCTGTAGTGCTGTAATGGTAATCACAATGTGATGTTTTCATAGTGCCCCTTATGGTCACTTGGTGAAATGACCAACAGGATTGTAGCATGCCAGAAATGCTGCCATTGTATTGGCATGTTGTTACATTTAATACAAAAGGAGTTAAGGGCTGCGCTTAAAATCAATAAATAAGAGTAAAATCAGCAAATAATAAAAACAACAAATAATAAAACCAAGATATAATATGAGTAAAATAAACAAAGTTCATCCAAATATGGGAATTAGATAGTGTAAGTAGAGACAGTCTCACTGGTATATGGTGGTTTGGATTTAGTCCTCAGATATTGGTCCGTCCGTGTGATAAATAGTCCATATATGTGGAGATAAAAAGACAAAAGAAAAAGCTGCCAAGGTTGAAATATTGCAGATCCGCATGTGGTAAATAAATCAAGGAAAAGGTATTGCACTCACAACTGTTGGAGCTTAAACCAGCTCTAGGAGAAAGGGCACTTAGTGGTTTAATCCCCACTACAGGATATACTGGGATGGTTGGTCCGTCTGGCTTGGATTCCTTCAGGTTGCTTAGATATAAGCTAGGACCAGCTCAGATGTATGAGACTCTTTGCAGTTGAGGATATATTGGAATGATAGGTCCGTCTCTCCGGCTTAGGTTCCATTGTTGACCGCAGAATATATAAAATAGCAGATTGTGCTCTCAGTAGGAACAATAAGGTAATTAAATAAAATAAATTATACTTACAAGAATAGAGCAGACAAGTACTGCTCTATTACCACAGCGCTGGTGGAATTATCCCCACCTAAGGATTTCTTTAGACGGGATACAATTGAGAGTAATACATTATATAATAAAAAAGTGGAACAAAAGGATAAAATAATAGAAATAAAAAATATATATAAAAAGATGCCAGGAATAGTAAGAGTGTATAAAATACAATAAAAAAAAGTATAAGACTTGTCCTATATGAAAGGTAACCAAAAATAACTTTTATTGATTAAAATACACTATTTAAAACCACTTACGCGTTTCACCTATGAGGTTTTTTCAAAATGGTAAAAGAACAGAAAAAACCTCATAGGTGAAACGCGTAAATGGTTTTAAATAGTTTATTTTAATCAATAAAAGTTATTTTTGGTTACCTTTCATATAGGACCAATCTTATACTTATTTTTATTGTATTTTATACACTCTTACTATTCCTGGCATCTTTTTATATATATTTTTTATTTCTATTATTTTATCCTTTTGTTCCACTTTTTTATTATATAATGTATTACTCTCAATTGTATCCCGTCTAAAGAAATCCTTAGGTGGGGATAATTCCACCAGCGCTGTGGTAATAGAGCAGTCGTTGTCTGCTCTATTCTTGTAAGTGTAATTTATTTTATTTAATTACCTTATTGTTCCTACTAAGAGCACTATCTGCTGTTTTATATATTCTGCGGACAACAACGGAACCTAAGCCGGAGAGACAGACCTATCTTTCCAATATATCCTCAACTGCAAAGAGTCTCATACATCTGAGCTGGTCCTAGCTTATATCTAAGCAACCTGAAGGAATCCAAGCCAGACGGACCGACCATCCCAGTATATCCTGTAGTGGGGATTAAACCACTAAGTGCCCTTTCTCCTAGAGCTGGTTCAAGCTCCAACAAATGTGAGTGCAATACCTTTTCCTTGATTTATTTACCACATGCGGATCTGCAGTATTTCACCATTGGCAGCTTTTTCTTTTGTCTTTTTATCTCCATATATATGGACTATTTATCACACGGACAGACCAATATCTGAGGACTAAATCCAAACCACCATAAACCAGTGAGACTGTCTCTACTTATACTATCTAATTCCCATATTTGGATGAACTTTGTTTATTTTACTCATATTATATCTTGGTTTTATTATTTGTTGTTTTTATTATTTGCTGATTTTACTCTTATTTATTGATTTTAAGCGCAGCCCTTAACTCCTTTTGCCTTTTCTTGTTTTCCAAGGGTTTTTTGAGGGATTCCCTTTTTAGGGTTGCTGCTCTTTTATCTGTTAGTTAGCGCAGACTCTTCTCCCCTTTGTTACATTTAATGTTTGAAAATAATACTGTGCAGCTGAAATTGTGCTACGGTGTTGGCATATTTATTATGATAACGGCAAGAAAACAAATTGAGAATTTAACCAAGAATGGCCTGATCTGACAACTTTACTAAAAAAATATCATGTTTCCATTTTGGTCCTAAATTTTGTACCTTCATAGATTTTATTACTTACAATATCGCAGTCCATGTACAAAGAAAAGTAGATTCTCTAAACAGATGTCTCTTACGCAGGTCAATCATTTGGGGTAAGAGAAAGCCAGAACATAATACTCCATTCTGAGTGAGTATATGCTCATCCTTTCAACAAATACCTTTTCATTGAAACATCATCATCTGAAACATCATCTGTAAAATCTAGCATAATGTGAATGACATGCCTAACATGTTATTCACATAAACATGTATGGCATGCTAATCTGCATGACTCAGTCAATAGCAATAACTGCCACAGGACCTGGGCATTACTGACTGCTGTCTGTGACCGCTCTCCCATTCCCATTGATTGATTGTGAGTAAGAGAAGGATTTTTAAACACTTTACATGCTGAGATTTACAGACCAGTTCAGTGAAGGGGTTTTTATTTTAATTTGTTTTTCTTGGGATTTGTTTGGGTAGATCTAGTGAGTGGAGATTTAGTGTGAAATTGCTTGGATTTAAGCAATCGATTTAAAGGTTAATGCAAAAAATCTCAAAGGAACACTCCAAGCATCATAAATATTCCAGCCATGTTGCTGCTGGTATCAATTTACACATAGACAGGTTTAAGGTATTGTGGACCAGGCTGTGTGCAGCTCTCAGACTGTGGGGTCAAGACTGAAAAGAGAGCTCAATGCAGCTTATGTGTGCAGTATGCACACGCCACACGCATGTCAGACCAAATGAACGCAGGCAACATTAGAATTTCAGACTGTCAGATTGACAGTTCTGCAAGGTAGGAGGACACCTGCAGTGATTTGTAATAATCCCTGCCTTTCTAAGCAAATTTCAGAGCTGAGAGGAGGCTCAGGGCACTTCCCACACCATCACCAAAGAACTGAGCAGTGAGACTGTATGGACAAGATCTATACACCAAAACATGGGCGTAGGAACCGGGTGGGATAGGGGGAACGCATACCCCCCAGCAAATCATGCGGGGGGGACAGGTTATAGAGAAATCCCCCCCCAGCTCTGCTGGCTGCGGGTGGCTCCATCAAGGAACCGCACGCACTGCAGACTGGGAAGGGGAGCACCTCCCCCTCCGCGCAGGAGTGCCGGGTGTCACGTGACTACACGGCGCTCAGTCTGACACTGCTCCCGCCAGACGTCCAGAGGTCCCCCTGCTATGTCGGGTAAAAGGGGGGGACAACAGTTTGTAGGGGGAGAGCAGAGCTGGTCACCTCTGTAAAGAAAAAAAACAGCTGCCTGAGCATTTTTAGTGTTAATTAATGGAAGGGTTAAAGAAGGGGCGAGGGGGGAGGTAGAAAAATGAATGTAAGCGGTTAGGGGGGCTTCTAATATGGATGGGAGGAAGGGGGAGGAAGAAAAATATTTGGAAGGTGCTAGGGGGCTACTAATATGGATGGGAGGAGGGGGAAGGTAGAAAAATAATTGGAATGGTTTAGGGGGGCTTCTAATATGGTTGGGAGGAGGTAAAAAAAGAATTAGAAGGGGTTAGGGGGGCTAC